TCTCCTGCAGGCAGCAGTCGGTGAAAGTGGGGGGGTTCGTTGGTTTGCAGGGAGCCCTGCGGGCGCGTAGGAGCAGCCTGGGGTGGAAATGCCGGCGTGGAAACTGGCAGGGGAATACTGAGGGTCCCCTGGCCCAGAGGGCGGGGGCTCCGGCACCCCCGTGTGTATGGGCAGGGTATGGAATGAGAGCGCGGCGGCCGCGTCCTCTCTGTGAGGCAGCTCCGGAGGCGCTGGGCTCAGGGAAGCGCGGGCAGGTGGCCCGAAGCAGGGAGTTCCGGGGAGAGAAAGGCTGCCGGTGGGAGCTGGTGGTACCTCGGTGGCTGGGGAGTAAGAGCTCGCGCTTTCTGAGGGGAACAGGGCATTTGATGGGGGGAAGAAGCAGCTCTCTTGTGTCAGAGGTGGCACAGGCAGCGGTGGGAAGCTGCCATCCTCCACCACGCCGCTTCAGGGACAGGAGAGAGACCTGTCGGGGCTTTGAAAAGGGAGACGGCCATCTTCTCTTCTGCCGTGCCTGCCAACCTAAGCCGTTGCTGTGCCGTTACCTGTACGCTTTCCAGCGAGAGCGTAAGTATCTGAGGGGCAGCTGCAGACCTGTGTGGTGCTAAGGCCGTTTCTCCCTGCTCTGTGCTATCCCTCATCAATATCGCTGCGGAGTACGCAGCTCTTCATGTCTCGCTGTGTGCGAAGGCCTGAAGTGTCTCATTTAGTTGTCCCATTTGCGTTCTCTTTGCGATAAAATCATCAGTGACTCTCCATTTTCTTTTTGCTTCCAGATGAGGCTCCCGGTTCGTGCTGCGTTTGCCCCGTTCTACGTGGCCCGCTGTGAGGAAGCGGCCGGGCTCCTGGCCTCCAAATCACTATTAAACAGATACGCTGTGGAGGACCGGGCTCCGCAGTACACCGTCGGCGCCGCTGGCTCCGGGTAAGCCTCGTCTCGTACTCACCAGGAGGAAATCTAAATCTCCGTGTGTGTGTGTGTGTGCAGGGTTTGAGGCCGTTTCTAGGCTCCGTGGTGTGCTGTTACCTTTGCTCCCCCGAAGTCTGAGCTCACCAGCAGTGCTTGAAGGTCCGACCCTGCGATTTGCCTTCCTGTTCCTTTGTCCCTGCTTTCCCTGTTTCCTGCTTTCGCCCTGTGGCTGCTCTAGCTGCGTGGCGCGGTTCCTCGTGTTCCGTCTTGTGATGTTCCCCTCCCCGTGCACACAAGACGCTCCTTCTGGGCTTTGTGAGCTCTTCTGACCTCCAGTTTCCTGACTTTTTTCAGCTTCTCTCGGCTTTGCCTTCCTCTTTCTGCAGCCTCCTCGTCGTACGCCTTGACTCTCCTCCCTGTCTCGGTGCCTTTTTGTCTTTCAAAAGTCCGTTCTTCCAGCTGTTGTCAGTATGGAGCTGCCGTCCCTCTGCGGCTCCGTCCCTCAGTGAGCAGAATACCAGACCTGAGACTCTCCTCCTGTCCCTTTCTTTGTTGAGTTTAGCGCCGCCTTAAATACGGAGCTGTCGAATGGTTCTTTACCCTCGGAGGATTTCGGCGTTCTCTCTGGGATGTTCAATGTCAAGCAGCTCCAGATCGCTTGGTATCTTCTCACGTTTCGAAATTTCTCCCCTCCCAACGCTCGTCCTTACCCCTGAGTGTCCCGTAGCTCTGCTGTCTTCATTCGTTGTCGCTGAGATTCCAGCATGCCGGACCCTGGGCAGGGTGTTGTTGGGAAGGAGGAGCGGCTGGATCCGCCTCGGATGGGTCTGGGCGTCTGTAATTACAGAGGACTGGGATTTCTTGGCAGGACTGACTTTGCCACCTGCTTCGTTTCTCTTTACTTTGATGAAACGCGACTATTTTCCTGAAGTTTCAGATCTCGGAGCGAGTGATGTGCCCCACGCTGAGATTCTGCGGCTTCCTGAAGCTGCTTACTTCAACTTCGCCTCTGCTGCCGTCGCGTGCCTGGCACGGGAGGGCGGGCAGGCGCTGGTGAGTGATTTGGTTTGACTGTTCGTGCGATTGTAGCCCCTGTCGGACATCAGCTCTGCCTGACCGTGCTCTTTAAGCTTGTTAGGAGATGATGCATGCCGCTGCACTCTTGCGCTGCACGTGCTCTGTTGCAAGAAGGAAAGGTGGCGAATGCTATCCTCCTCCTCCCCTTTTTTAGGTTGGTTTCACGAGCGCTCCTGGGCAGGGAGGGATCCTGGCTCAGCGTGAGTTGTGACGGGAGGTTCTCGCCTCGCTTGGTAAGTACCTTTCAATGAATAATGGAAATGGCACTGCAGCGATCGCGCGGCCCAGCACAGCGCCCGTTTGTGGTGTGTTGGGCTTGCACCAGTCACCTGAAAAACCCCAGCGTGGATTGGAGTTAGCCTGCGTCAGCTGCCCAGAAGAAAATATCACAGAAATCGCCGTTTCCATCCCCGCCACCTCTGCGAAGGAGCTGGCGCGGTGGGATTTGGGCTAGAGGCTTTGCGGGTGGGAGATCTGATGGTTGTAACTCAGCTGCCCGTGGTTTGTTCCGAATTCTTCCCGGCAATGTCTCCTTCCAGCTGGACCGAGCAGCTTTCGGCGTGATGACTCTGCCCTCCGTCGGGCTGCTGCTGCTCTGGGACTTGAAAAAGAGAAAATACGACACCCGCAAGACCGAGAAGTGAGCAAAGCCAAACGGCACCGGCACCCCAGAGCTCAGGGGAGAGCAAACGTTAACCCCCCCCAGAACCGCAGGCGCGTTTGGATCAGCAACAGTCTGCAAAAGCACTGCCCGGGCTACGCTTCGGCCCTGTCGCTTCAACGGCAGCGACGTGTTGCCTTCTCCCTTAGAAAAAAGAAGAAAAAACACCGAAAAGCCCACAGCCAAACCCCCTTGTCCGCGTATTCAGAGCGGGGTCCCCTTGCTCTGTTGCAGACGAGGGCCGGTGAAGCCGCAGCGCGAAGGCGTTGACGCCCAGCGGAGCTTATTTGTGGGGGCGCAGCTCTGCAGCGTTTCTGGCGGCCGTGCTGCCTCCCGGACCCCGTTCAGCCGAGTGGACCTCTGCCTGCTGCCGTCTTCTCCATCCCTGTAAATCTTGGGGGGCCCCCTCCTCCAGGTGCTGCCCGCCTCGCCGAAACACCTCTGGGAAGGAGCTCTACCTGGTGCTGATAACAGACCTCCTTTTGTCCGAGGCTTGCTAGAGCTCCTCCTTTGCTAGGTGGGGCACGGGAAGCCCCCCCCGCTGTATTTCAGTGAGCCATTAATTGCTGCGTCTCCGGTTGTTTGGGGTTTTGGGTTGTTGATTTGTTTTGGGTTTTTTTTTTTCCTGGTTGCTCTGTTGAGGTGTGTTGAGGAACTTGAAGGCTTTGTAATAAAACAACCACCACGAGAAAAGCCGGCTTTTCTTTTACCGGGAGGTCCTGGAGGCACCCGGCTGCCTCCAAAAGCAGCTAAAGGGCGTACAGTCAGGAAAACAAATGGGTACCCTACTCCGTCAGTAGAATAAGTGGAAGAACGAGAGCAGAGGGAACATGTGGGGAGCAGAAATCGCTTTGCCGGGTCCGTTCCTCTGTTCTCCGAGGGGCTGGTACCTCGCACCGGCTTTCCCGACAGCCCCAAGCACTGGGATAAGGTTTTTCTTCACCGCCGTAAATAAATCACGCTGTGGCTGCCCGTCGGGCAAGGATTTGTGCTTTTTCTCTGGAGGAAGCAGTGGCACAGCCATGACTTGGCTCAGGGGACCCACGCGTGGCGAGAGGTGGTTGATTTCTGCCCCGAGATTCGGGCGAGGGCTCCGTGGTGGCCCTGTGGCACCGTTACAGCCCGGCCTGGCCGCGCGTCGGACCCCGCTCGCCCAGCACAGTGTGGTGGCAGCCGAGAATTTTGTGTTGGTGGATAGAAATCCCGGTCCGTGCCGGAGCGAACACTGTGTCTTTGTTACCAGAACAATGTTTCCAAGCCGGGATGCCTCACCCCCTCGCCCCAACCTTCGCTGCCACCGGTTGCACCCTTTGTTTCGCCCGACGAGTGTCGCAGCCGGCAGGATTAGGGTGACGGTCGCCGTTTGACGCTCAAGAAACTCTCTGAAGGGTGCAGGGGCTTTGTGAAGGGCGAGGGTAACTAATGCCCGTTACCAGCGGCGCTCTGGTTTGGGCTTTTGAGGGCAGGCTGGGGAGGTTTTGATGGGAGACTGATGTAAAGAGGAGTTGTCTGTGTTGCGTCTTTAACGGTGGCGCGCTCCTTCGAGCCCTGAATCGTGCTAGCGCTAGAAACGCTGCTCGTGGACGGGTCTG